CAACAGGTTATTTCTGTTCTGGCCTTCTAAACTGAAGGTGGCAAAACATTATTTTAGACATGAAAGGTTTTTGACTTCAGACAAAGGCTGCCCATCGTGTTTCCAGGGTGTGTGTTATCCTGTGATCTTCACGGAGGGTAAAAGGCAGAGGTGGGCCCACCTCTGTGGTCAGCTGAGAAAGACTTGCTCTTTTGAAGTCTCCCAACACTTTTGCCTGCCTGAGCCAAAGCCACTGGGGCAAAATCATCATCATAAGAACATGTTTTCATCATGCCTCGAGGCGGAAAGTCTTCCTGAATCAAAGGAGTCGAGAGGGAACTGCGATAAACTTCTTTATCAGCTAAAAACCTCACTTGCTGGTTGTTTCATGCTAAGGCTGGTCCTGGTGTAAAAGCTGATGAGGGACAGGCAGAATTGTGCCTGTCTGAAGGAGAACTTAATCAGTCCAAACACTTCCATGTCTCCCAGGTAGTAGTTGAACCTTTGCCTTGTGTTTTTGCCACTTAGTTGGTACTCAAAGAGCATGGCATGGTCAGAGGTGAGGAGGGGACCCTCTGTGCCCATCCAAACTAATGGGTGAAAAAACACTGCAAAAATCAAGTAATTGGTTCAGATGATGATAAACGCTGTTGGGTAAACCAGAGTGGTTGAGGAGAACTAAGAGGTGAATGGAGCAAATGCAAGGAGAGGACATCATGTAGGGGAATAAATTAAAATATACCTGGATATCTTATTCCCTGAAGCATGTATTTATTACGGATAAATGCCTTGCCACATGACTTGTGAACAGGAGGGCGTGTGTCTTTCTTCTCTATCATCTGTGCTGCTGTTCAACATCTACAGGCAGTGAAGAGCCCGTGGCAGGGTGAAACAGAGGACCAAGTCCTGCTGACCACACTATGGACAGTTTCTAGTAACTAAGGCACTTGGAGAAGCGGGAAGGACTGGTGTGTGTCTGTCTTTGTAGTGACAGGACAAGGGGTAATGGGTTTAAATTGGAAGTGGGGGGGGTTAGATTAGATATCAGGAAGAAATTCTTCCCAGAGAGGGTGGTGAGGCACTGGAAGAGGTTGCCCAAAGAAGCTGTGGATGCCCCATCCCTGGGAGTGTCCAAGGCCGGGCTGGATGAGGCTTGGAGCAACCTGGTCTAGTGGAAGGTGTCCCTGCCCCTGGCAGGGGGGGTGGAACTAGATGGTCTTTAAGGTCCCTTCCAACCGAAACCATTCTATGATTCTATGGTTCTTTGCAGCACCTTTTGCTGTATGGGGAAGGCAGCTTGTGGCTTCTGTGCCTCCTCTTTTGGGTGTCTCTGTGGGAGATGGAGCTTGCTTGTGTGAGCTTGCACAGGGCGGGGAGGAGAGGTGAAAGCTCCTGGCCCTCCTTGTGCTTTTGTTTTGGGTGGAACTCACCAATCTTTTAGTTGAATTGGAATTAATAATTGAAAAATACCAAGAGTGTTTAGTGCATGGTCTTGCTCAAGTAAGGAAAACCAGCTAACCCTGAAATGTGTCCTGCTGTCGTTCG